CAAAAAGAGCATTCTGTGGCTCGCACACAAAGTCCAGGAATAATTTGCTGAAACTTTGCTGGATCTCAGACCTTCTCTTCGCCCACGCGCTCTGAATCAGCTCAAGCTTGACTCTCGTTATTTATTTTTAGCGCCGTTATGGATGTTGGCAGCGTCGCCCAACGGCTCAGAGCAGTGATAGCAGCTACTGTCAGAGCTGCAGTCCACCGCTCGGTCCGTCACAGGTCCAAGATTGGTTCTGAAAATACGTAATTACCGCACAGCCAGAGGTCTTTTTGAAAATTAATCTCAACACGAATGTCGGGCGATGATCAGCAGATTATCTGATGATCTGCTTTAGTCGGTAATCTGGTCTCGCTGGTCCACGCTGAGCTGCAGGTGGAGGGATTACCAGGAGCCCGGCAGGTGGGGTTCTGATGGTGACCTGGTTCAGTGTGGAGTCGAGAAGAGCCGCGAGTCTCCTGCTTTGACCCGATGATCTGTCGCGTGTTTGTGCGTAAAAGCTAAGTCCAAACGGGTCTGTTGTTATTTTTATTATTCGCGGATTTAATGAAGGTTTATGAAAGATTTAAAAATCACCAAAACATAAAAATATATGCATCAAAGTGCTCATTTTGTTCTGTATATGTTTAAATGAATGTGGTCATTATTCATGTTTGTGATGTCGAATTGCAAATAAAGACTCATTTCTGATATACTGATGTTTGAATTTAGAATCTAGATGTTTTCTGTTGCCTATAAATATAATTTATCTATAATTTTTTAACTGTTGTTCATTAGCTGTAGCAACTTTTTATTCATTACTTTTAGCATAACGGTTAATCTAGTTATGATAATGTTTATAAAAATATTCAGCTAACTATTTCAAACTGAGGTTGCACCGTTTTTTTTTTTTTGTTTTTTTTTTTTAGCAGACTAAAAAAACCATTACTTTTACATGCTATAAGTATTAGCTTTAGCTAACCATCACTTTCCACTAGCTTATTTTTAGCTAAAAAATTGAATCCGTTACTTTCAGCTATTTATTACTATTAGCTAAACCATTTAACGCGTTTCACTTAGATAGCCATTAACTAAAACTTGAATCCATTAGTTGTAGCTAGCCATGTATTGATTAGCTTTTAGCTACTACATTTAGCTAATGATATCTATATTATATTTTATTATATACTATATTATTTGTAGCTAATTCAGATGTTTTGCAAACTATCATTATAATCTGAATTGTTTATAGCATTACAGCTAGCTAACCATTGATCAGCGACCTTTAGCGAGCTATCATGTTCAGCTTCAGATATTGCTTTGAGCTCAAACTTTTTACTTTTAGCTAACAAATTACTGGTTGTTTTTTTTTGTTTTGTTTGTTTTTTGTTTTTCTTTGCTATCACTTTCAGCTAACTATTAGTTTTAGCTAATAGTTTCTCTTTTTTTTTATTGTAGCTAATTTACACCTTTAGGAAACCATGTACTACTACTAGCTAAACCAGCTAAACAGTTACAGTTAGCTAACAGTTACTTTTGGCTAGTTATGACTTTCAGCCTAAAACTTTTAGCTAACTAATTTTTGCTAAACTATTTAGAGTATTGCTAACCATTTATTCATTACATTTGCCCCACATTTCGCATACAATTGCTTTTAGCTAACATTCTCTCCATTATTAGCAGTGATTAGCTCAACTTTTTTGCTAGTCGCTAAACCACTCAAAGCATTACATTTAGCTAACCATTTACTTTTAGCCAGCTATCACTTTAGGCATTATATTTTTTAATTTTTAAAGCTAATTATGAATTTTAGCTTAAACGTAAATCCATTATCTTTCGACTAAATATGACATAAAGTTGAATAAATGGTTGCAATGAGAGGCTAAATGTAATAAATAGTTGTTAGCTGTAGCTAAGTCTTTAGATCCCTCAGGTATGAATTCCAGTTAGTGACGAGCTGGTAAAAAAAAAAAAGAAAAAAAGAGAGAAATAAAAAAAAAAAATAAAAAAGAAGAATTTAGGGTTAAAAATACCAAATATTTTTCCTCAGGCGATGGTCGAGATGAAGATAAAACCAATGGACGCCCATGTTGATGTGTCTGTTGGAGATGTAGCCGTGTCTATACCTTTCATTGCTCTTCATTCCCGATATTTACCCATATTTTTGTTTCCCTGTCGTCTTACAGGCTGTAAATGTGAGTCTGTAAAATGGCGGCTGAACGCGTATGATCGGACATGGAGGCCCTCAGCTCAGTCAACACCACACAGGAAGTGCATCGCCTCCTGCCTCCGCCGCCGCTGCCGCCTGATGATGACTACGACCCGAACGCCAGCGCCGTTCCTCCGGGCGTGAATTTTCCGGAGGACCCCATTAGGCTGCTGAGCGTGCAGGTAGAGATCTCATTTCCATTCGCTTTGGAGCCTTTTAGGGTTGATTAACGGCCACCGAGCTTCACGTTGGTGGGAGATGGATGGATTCTGTTATGTTTGCGTTATGTAGGCGTTTGAACATCGGCTCAGCGTTAACACGGTGCTGCTCCCGTTCCTCTGCCACCCATTATCCAGTCTAATCGATTCTACTTTTACTCCATCACAAAAACATTTGGAAAGCATCCTGATCTGCATTTTGTGTCGCGCTAATTAACGCGGTAAGCTAACGTGGTGATCATCTGTGACGCAACACTCTATTCTCACTTATCAAGGATTGCTACGTTTTCAACTGTGCTGCTTGAAGCCAACACCTCGCCAAGGAGTGGCAGTAAATAAGACAACTCACATGGAAAACACTACTGATGCTAAAGCTACGAGCTACTCGAAAGAGTTTAGTTGGGTCAGTGAATATCAGAAATGTCCCGATTCAGTATGTTTCTCCCCCAATCCAATCGAAATCATGTAATATTTACTCCCTGCTGATACCACTTTTTAGGCAATACAGCGTTTCAAGTGTTGTGGATCAGCTGCAGTACCAGGTTACACCACCAGATGGAGCCTCTTACCGTGACAAGAGGATTACAGTTTGTTGTAGTCACTAATAATATTAATGATAATGAACGGTATTCTCTGTGTTTCACGGAGCTTCAGGTGAATCTTTTTCATCGAAATCACAAAAAAAAGACGTTTTATCCAAATTACCAAAAGAGAAAACAGATTAGCTAAAAGGCTTCTCGTTTCGTTTCGATCTAATTACACATGTCTGACTCTGAAACGTCGTCGATGCAGTGGAGGTGAATTTAATTAGCTTGTGGTGCAACATGAAAAAAAAAAAATCAACACTCGGCTGCGAAACGTCTCTCCAGAAACAGAACCGTCGTTAACCTGGACCTCATTGGTAGGGAGCGTACAGTAGCACTATTCTAACAAAGTCCTCGGTAGAATCGCTAACAGTGCCGATTTCTGATGGATGTCGGTAGCTAGCTGAGCCACCGATTGCTGACTAGCCTGCTAACACCATTAGCTATCAAACGGGAAGCTGAAAGCCTCTAAACGAACTGTCGTCTGCTTGTTTCCAGGTGGTGCTGATCCTGGCCTACAGCACCATCATCGTGCTGGGCGTCCTGGGCAACTCCCTGGTCATCTACGTCATCTACCGCTTCAAGACGCTTCGCACCGTCACCAACTTCTTCATCGCCAACCTGGCTGTCGGTACGTCGCTGAGCGTCTTCCAATGAGTGCTTTTTTTGGGGTTTGTTTTCACCAAACCGTGACGACGTTAGCGCGTTAGCAGGAGCAGAAGAACCCTCGGAGGCGTTCAGACGTCCGCTAACTCGACTCGATTTGGGTTGATGAGCCGAATGCATTTTTAATCCGAGAACGGGAGAAGATCAAACGCGACTCGTGTGCCCTCGTTAACACAATCATCTGCTGCGTTTCATGGAGGAACCAAATCCCAACTTTTTAATTAAGAATTAACACGTTGCTGCTGGGAATTCCCGGCTCGTTAAGGCTTCTGCTGATTGATTGTTTTGGAGTCGGTTTGTTTCTTTCATTTTAATCGCAGCACGTGAAGATTTAATGAGTCGACATGCCGGTTGGAGGCAGCGAGAAAGACGTGTTCATGTTTAAACACTCTGAGATATTGTTCGTTGCTAAGCTAACATGTTTGTAAATGAACTGTTCTGGAGGATCCCAACCGTAAAACGAGGATAAACAGAACGCCGTCGGTCCGATTAAATCTGTAGAGCAGCTGAAAAATACACAACGTCTGGAACCGGTGAAGTCCAGGTTCTGGTTCCTACCAATGGTCCACGTCAACATTTAGTCTAAACAAACTGGAACCTCGTCTGGTCCAGCTTCACCACATCAGGTTCTGCTGATGTAGAACCATGGATCCATCCATAGACGGACACTGACGGGAGCTTTCTGGATCAGCGCCAGCCTGGTTGGAGATGTTTCTTCTGTTCTGAAGGGTCAGAAATGACTTGTTTTTGTCACACTTTTATTGGTTTTGGACACTTTTTGAGTCACTTTGTACAATTTTGACTCATTTATGACGAGTTTTGTTTAATTTTAGCGAATTTTTTTGGACCGATTTTGTTGAATTTTGGACAAGTTTCAAGTCAAATTATCAAAATCTTGGAACCTTGTCTGGATCCACCCATGTATGTACACTTACAGGAACAATATCTTTATTTTTTCCGTTTTAAGAGACCAATTCGTATTTATTATTGACATTTCAAGTAATTCTGGACTCTTTCTGAGTCACTCTGGACAGATTTAAAGACAAAATAACCAAAAACTGGAGGTTTAGGTTCACATTTCCTCAAATTATACGTATTTATTGTTGACATTTTGGACGACTTCTGTGAATTTTGGACCACACCGGGTCGATTCGGACGGATTTCAAGTCAACATAACAGAAAACTTGAACCTCGTCATCAGGTTCTGCTGATGTTAGAGCCTCAACAGTTGGAGAACCATGGATCCATCCATAGATAGACACTGACAGGAACCTTCTGGATCAACACCAGCCAAAGTGTGAATGTTTTGCACAAACCTTTGGAAAAGGGAGGAAACGTGAGAAGGTGAAGCGTTGTTTGGACAACGTTTGAGCCATTTAAGTCACTTTTATTGAATTTTTGATTTCTATTCTCGTTTTTTTAAGTTCATTTGGACATTTTTTTGTACCTTTGGACCGGTTTCAAGTCATTTGGGAGGGTCTTTAAGTTACCGTGGACGTCTTTTATGTCATTTTTGGCACATTTCAAGTCATTTTCTTGTGATTTTTGGATGTTATCTTTAGATTCTACTGATGTTAGAGCCTCAACAGTTGGTGACCAGTCGACCAGAGACCGGGTTCTAGTAGAACCATGGATCCATAGATATCTACTCAGATGAACTTTCTAAATATTGCACTTTTTTTTTTTTTTTTTCCCATATCCAAGGGCCACTGATCAGAAATGTGTGGTCTGCTGGAGCCGTTTGATGGTTTGGATCCGTTCTGTCTGGTCCACATTTCATGGCTCTGGGACTTCTGGACATGTGGAACCTTTAAAATGGCTTCACACGGGAGGCGTTTAGAGAATTTTCAGAACATAAAATCACTCAAACATTCATCACAGAGTGTTTTCTAGATCTTAGTTGTCGGCCCGGCGGAGGCGTTCATGGGACGGCGTCCAGCATCGATGTGGTTTCATGTGGGCCGCTGTGGCATTCGCAGCTCTTTGGCTACGACAGAAAGTCCGTCGGTGTAACGGACCGAACTGTGAGTCTGTAATGAGCCGCAGAGCGTCGATCCCAAACATCAGGCAGAACTTCAGCGACAACAGACGTCCGACCGTCATCTGCTGCGACACACGGCGGCCGATCTCGCCTCGACTGTATTTGTTCCTAATGAGCGACGGCGTGAAAGCGCCTCCTCCGTCTGTAAATGTCACGCTGGTGCACGATTCACCGCCTCAGAGACGCTGCAGCAGATCGGTCCGAGGTCCGGGTTCTGGGACGCAAAAGGAAAAGAGAGCCCAAGCTCAGCAGGACTCAGTCAGAACGACACAAAGTCCAACGACGAGACGAAGACGCAAAATTAAACAGAAGATGTAAAAAGATGCAGAAAATAAAAATCAATCGAGCGCCACCGTCTGGTTTAGAGTCTCACAGGGACTGTTTTGTGTCTGATTTTAAGATTTTGCATCTTTATGGTCATTTTGCAGGTTTTTATTTTTTATTTTTTATCTACTTTGGTTGTTTTTGTGCCACATTTCAGACATTCAGTGTCACTTCATGGCAGTTTTTAACACATTTTAGCCATTTGGCATCATTTTGCTGCAGTTTTATCTCTTTATGTTTGTTTGTTTGTTTGTCCCGTTTTGTCGTTTTTATTTTATGCATTTAATTGTTTTGCGTCTCTTCTTCACTATTTGTTCAGTTTCCGGTCATTTTGCACATTTTTATGGTTGTTTTTTTGTCTATTTTGATTGCTTTGTGCCACATTTCAGACATTTTGCACGTCTTTGTTGCCATTTTGTGGCTTTTTCTGTTCATTTTGCATGTTTTTGTCGTCATTTTTTTGTCTATTTTGATTGCTTTGTGCCACATTTCAGACATTTAGTGTCTTTTTATGGCTGTTTTTGTGACATTTAAGATGCTTTGTGCCTGATTTTAGCCATTTTGCATGTCTTTGCTGCCATTTTATCTCTTCGTGGTTGTTTTTTTTGTCCCATTTTGTCATTTTATTTTAATTGTTTTGCGTCTCTGCTTCACTGTTTGTTCAGTCGTCAGCCACTGTGTGTCTCTTGGTGGTTGTTTCTGCTCCATTTGGGATGGAGACTGAATCAGGAGTTTTCTGTTATGTTTGTTCTGGCTGGTTGCTGGACGTCTTTCCCGTCACGTTCTGTCAGATATCAGAGGCTGTACGAGGAGCTGCAGATGGAAGCAGGAGGATGAACAGGAGCTTTTGTTTCGTGTGTCGAGGCCTGAAAAGCAGCCGAGCGAAGCCGAGTGAAATGTGAGCGGCGGCGGAGGCGGATTGATGCGATGTGAAATGTGCAGGAAGGTAGAAGGACGGCGGGCACAAAGTTGTCGGTTCAATTCCCCCGAATCTGAGCCTGTGACGAGCAGACGGGCCGGCCTTCGGTTCTGCTTCGTGTCGCCGTCGGTGCTCAGAGACGACGTTGTGCTGCAAGACGAGACAGAGACGCACAAAAAGACGCAGAAGTGTCACAAATTACAGACAAAAGATGGAAAACCAGCTCGTAAAGGCAGCAGGAGACGCATCGAATGACACAAAAGTCCAAAGACGAAAAACAAAATGATAAAAAAGACGAGAAGACGTGAAACCGACCTGCTCAGAGTGAAAAAAAAAAACAGCAACGACACTGTTAGGATGTGAAAACAGCACAAAAGATCTCTAATAAGACCAATAAATAACACAGTGAGAGGAAAAGGTGAATTAAATGACACAAAAGTCCAAAACTACAGGCAGAAAAAATACAGATAATTATGCAAAAGTGAAACAAAAAGACATAAAACTGGTGAAAGATGCAAAAAAACGACATAAATGTCCAAAGATTTCCCCAAAATACACGTCGACACAAAAAGTAGACGAAGAAAAAGAAAAAAATGACACTAAAGTCATGAAAACACTTGTTTTGTGTCTCATTGGTGTCGTTTTGTGTTTTTTTTTTGTCTGATTTTCATCGTTTTGCGCCTCGTTGTCGTCATTCTGTCTGTTTGTCTGGATGGTTTTGTCCCAGTTTGGTCCTTTTGCGTCTCTTTGTGTTGTCTTTGGGAAAGTTTTTACCATTTTTGTGGTTGTTTTGTGTCACATTTAAGACGTTTTGTGTCTGACTTTTGTCATTTTGCTGCTCATTCTTGTCAGTTTGTTGCTTTTGGAGTTTTTTTGTGTCTGATAATGTCTAGTTTCTGTCGCTTTGTGCTCATTTTGCTTCTCTTTGTGGTCGTTTTTGTGACCTCGGGGTGTTAATTTTGTGCCTTTTTAGGTTTTTTTTTGTCATTTCCTGTCTGATTTTCATCATTTTGCGGCTCTTTGTCATCATTTCGTCTGGTTCGGATGTTTTTTGTTCTTTTTCTGTCGCTTTGTGCTCATTTTGCTTCTCTTTGTGGGTTTTTTTGTGACCTTGCGGCGGTTTTCTGTCTCTCTGACGCTGTTTGGTCACGTCTGGGACACTTCCTGTTTGATTTCGATGAATTTTCTCGTCGACAGCGCGGTTCGGAGGCTTGACGGGTTCTGCAGCAGAACGTCGTGCTCTGGTCCGTTGGAGGTGTTCCACAGCGACGGCTTGTGGACGCAGACATCAGCTCGTTTCCACTCAAACACCTCCAGCGATCGCCTGAGTCACAAATGAATGCTGTGAAAGTTGTCCCGTCACAGAACCTCTGGGTTCTGGTCCACCACTTACAGAACCTCACTCAGAATCCCATCAGCGGCTGAGTGAGAGCCTCCCTCGGCGCCACCGCTCCGTTTCATGTCTTCATCTCAGATTCTCTGTTCTCCGCCTCTGGCTCGCTGCATGCGGCTGATTCATGTTTCCGTCTGCGTTCGGCTCGGTTCTCTTTGGCCCGAAGCTTCACAGGCGGCAGAAGGCCAAAGTCTGGGGGCGACGCGAGGCTCGGCGGGAGGCCTGACGCGATCTGGCACGACGAGTTCAGAGGCTCCGGTCCGACGGCCGCCGGGCTCCGCTCGCATCTGATTGGACGTGGAAGGCGGGACTGCTGACATCCTGTCGGTCCGTCAGAGCCGACGGAGGGACCAGTGACACTCCACAGACAGCAGCTCGGATGAGGTCCAACGCTCCACGTCTCGGTTTGTGACCGAAGAAATCCTCGACTCTGAAGCTATGAAGAGACGTCCTGCAGGTAGCAGAAGCTCTGAGAGGCGTCAGTTTGTGTTTCACGACCTCCGACGTCTCCTCAGTGGTTCTGATTGACGAGAGCTGCTGACGCTCCTGATCCGGTTTAGACGATCCAATAAGCCGCGAGACGAGACAGAACACCCAAAACATGACACAAAATGAGAGAAAATAGTGACAAAACAAAGACAAATGGACAGAAATGAGAAGCAGAACCACCCAAACTGGACACAGAACGCCCAAAACGACGATAAATGTTCAATGTGTAGTTTGTGCTGTTTCTGAACGGCAGCGACTAGCGAGCCCGCGGCGGGGGAACCAGACAGCGGCGCTGCCAGATCGGACCGCTCAGGCTGGTCGTCGGTCTGATCCAGATGTGGCGCCGCTCACCAGCTGTTTCGTCCTCGGATGACTCGACTCCGTGAGCTGATGGGAGCAGACGTAAGGAGGGAGTGAGTCAGGCTCCTCTGTACCGGGCCTGGATGGAGGTCTACTGCAGTCCATCTGGGCTGCTCTTGGGTCACGGTGAATGTAGAGGATTCAAAACATGAAGACGTGGTTTTAGAGTCCGTCTGTGGCGTCCGGCCTGAGACGGCAGATGTGACTCATGATGTTCAGGCTTCTGATTTATACCAATGTCCAGGCAGAACAGGAGAGTTTCTCCTCCAGTAAAGACGACGATGAAAACCCAAAGCTGACCCAACTAAACCGAGTCCAGCTGTGGTTTCTAATCAGTCCAAGAGCACGGACGTGGTTCTACAATGAGCAGTTCTGGACCTCTGGACTGTGTCTGAGCAGATGACCTGAAAAATGGGATTGTGAGACTTTCCGAAGACGAGTTGTTCTAAAAGGGTTCATAAAACAGAAACGTGTCCACAGCTACTCTAAAGCTGCTCAGAAAGGGCTGGAAATGGTTCAGAATGACTCGTTGGCAAAGCTGTGAAACTCAGCTGTGGTTCCCATCAGTCCACCTGCATGAACATGGATCTACAACGAGCTGAGAGCAGCAGAACCTTCTGAGTTCTGGACCCATGGACGGTGTCTATCTATACGATCTACCCAGAATGACAGGATCTGTCCAAAAACAAGTAAAAATGGTCCAAAGAGACTCAGAGTTTTGTCTAAATGATTCTAAATTTGATCTAAAATGACCCGACGTGGAGAAGACCTGAACAGAGGAGGAGAAACATCTGACTGAGAGACTGGACAAAGATGGAGAAGGATCCAGAAGATCAGTGAACTGCTGCTGCTCACAGCTAAACTTCCACATCAAAGTTCACCAGAGAACATGAACAGAAGCCTGATGGATGCTGGAGAACATCCTCTGGTCAGATGGAGATCAATGTGTTGGGCTCACATGGAGTCCAGATGTTTGGTGTGGACCTGACCAGGACCACCACAGTGGATGCATGGAGGTGGCAGCATCATGATGTGGGGCTGCTCCATGACTGTCTGAGGATAAACTGGTTTTGTCCTGACTTGAAGCCAGCAGAAGATGTTTGGGGCGTTCCACAGATGAAGAATGGAGGTAAAGGTGGACACGAGCAAAGATCAGAATCTCAGTCGTGAGTTTTCAACACGATGAATCTGAGCAGCTGGTTTTTAATTCGACCTCTGGAGAGCTTGTGGAGGAGCTGCTGGTCCAGGTTCAGATCCAGCGAGTGGTGCTGAGCAGCTGCTGGATGATGTCTGAAGAAGCTCTGCAGCTGAAGTGCCGCCGGATTGAAAGTGTAATCTGAGAGAACAGCGTGGATCCGATCAGAGGAGATAGGATCTCACAGCTACAAGATAAGCTGTGTGTCGTCTTTTGTGTCTTTGTGAATCCAGACGCTTCGCCGTGTGACGGAGACGTGGAGGCTCGTTATGGCAATGTCGTCATTTCCTGTCTCGTTTCTGTCTTGTTTTTGTTTTTTTTTACTGTTTTATGTTGTTTGGTTTCATTTCTGTCGTTTTGTGACTTGTGGGTTGTTTCGTGTCCGGCTTTGTTTGGTCATTTTTGTCCTGTTTTTGTGTCTCATTTGTCATTTGGTGTCAGTTTTTTTTTTTGTCTCATCGTGTCGTGTTTTTTGATTTTGTTGTTTCGTGTCACCTTCGTGTTGTTTTGTTTGTCTCCTCATCATTCGATGTCTGGTTCTGGTTGTTTACTGTCTGGTTTCATTTTAGTCACTTTCTGTCTCATTTCTGTAGGTTTGTGTGGGTCTTTTGTTGCCTTTGTGTGTCCTTTCTTGCTGTGTTGCGTCTCATTTGTGTTGTTTTACGGCGTTCTGTCTCGTTTTTTAATTTTGTGTCTCATTCGGGTTGATTTTGCGTCTGTTGTTTGTTGTTTTCTGTCATTTCTTTCTCTCTGACTTGGTCACGACTTCCCGGTTGCATGACGGAGTGCAAAAGTTTAGACTTTATTTGGTGCAAACGATTTATTTTTGGTGCATTTGTAACCCAGACATTAAATATCACAACTTTTTTTTTTTTTTTTTCCCACTGAAAAAAGCTCAAAAGAGAAAACTTTGATGAATCTTTCAGTTTTTACCGTTTCTGTGTCGATGAATCAAGTCTTTCCTTTAAACCTGCCGGCAGATTTGAGGGTTTTGCCTCCAGGTTGGATTTTATTTGGTTTCCAGCATTTTTTTAAAGTCATTTAACCCAAAACTGATATTCTGGGTTTCTTCTGGGATTCAACACAAATCACGAGTTTTGCCAAAAATCTGATAAACGTCCTCCTTTTACATCATTTTTCTTTCAAAAGGCGCCAAATACCTGCAGCTGGTTGAGACGTTCGGCGGCCGAACAAAACGCTTTGTCAGAAAAATGAAAAATGTTTTTGTTGAACTTTCCTCGTTGCAGAAGCAGAAAAACAATGAAACAGAGACGGCGATGTTGTACAGACTCAGATCAGAGAAACGCTGACGCTGTGTTTGTCTCTTCTTGTTTCCTGCAGCCGACCTGCTGGTCAACACCCTGTGCCTCCCCTTCACCCTCGTCTACACCCTGCAGGGCGAGTGGAAGTTCGGCGGGACGCTGTGCTTCCTGCTGCCGTACGCTCAGGGCCTCGCCGTGCACGTCTCCACGGTGACGCTCAACGTCATCGCCCTGGACCGCCACAGGTGGGCGGAGCTCCCGCTTCCTCCGATCCTGGGGGGAAGGTTTTTACGCAAACGTTGGAGGATGGTTCAGGTCGCAAGAAAGTTGAATCAGATTGAGTTTTTTGACACTTCAAATACAGTCGGGACTCGATAATCGACCCTTAACAATCCTAAACCTGTTACCGACAGGTTCTCAGGAAAAAACCAACAGAACCCATAAAAACAGCCTTAACATAGCGACAGCCTTGGATTGTGACTCCGACATGACATTTAATGTCACCAATCAGGATGACGGCGTATTATCTGACTGAACAATCCCACGACTCTAATTTTACTTAAATTCAAATTAAACCGCGATCTTTGTTGGAAACAGCTCGTGGCAGCAGAACGAACGCGGCGACGTCTTTGTCGAGTTGTACGCTGAAACCTGGAGTCCTGCTGGGAACTGGGTTTTATCAGAAATAGGTTGTTGAAAATAATCCCAAACTGGGCTACAACTAAACATATTGAGCAGAAACGCTGAAAGAAACGTTCTGGAAACGCGTAAGACTCAATAAAAGGCCCAATGTGGGACCTTTGACTCGTCCTTTCGGATGCAAAACTCGTTATTAAGCGTCTGCACAACAACCGGATAGACGTGGAGCAACAAGCGAAACCACGTCACCAATTATCTGCTAATATTTTTTATTTTTCTCTGATTTAAATCCATTAAAACAGGAAATTAATCGCAGTTTGATGTAGACGTCATTCACAGTTTTGACCTGTTTGTAAGTTAATTCTTTTTTTTTCTGTGATTTTAATAAATATCGTCTGCATTTGTGACAAAATCTGTAAAATTTAAGCCATTTTCTCTTAATATGCATCATTTTCTTGGAAGCACTGGACAATCTGTACGTTTGTGACGTTTTCTCTGATTAAAAGCAGTAAAAACAACGTATTACAACAACACAAAACTAAACATAGAACTTTATTGTGAAACACTGCAGGAAAAGTCTCTTTGTTCTTCCTCTGACTGGATTATGGGGCATTCAGACTTCACTGTGATGAATTAGCTGCAAACGCTCGGCATCATCCGACACCAGCAGCTAAACGACAGAACCGATAGAACATCGGATCGTTTTTCATCCTGACTCTCAGGAAAAGAGGACGAGGATTCACGGTCGTGTCGGCGTTCAGAGGTCTGCGTGAAACACGACTTGTTTACACGACTTCCTCCCGTGTTGGTGGATTCTAACGACGGCGACCTGCAGCCGCCGCCGGAGAGTCGGACGTTAAATATTCATCCCTTAAATAACAAAAAAAACCATCTGCTATTTACGTATTCGGTCACAGTCTGCTGTCGCTGTTCCTGTCTTTGGTCTCCGTCTGTCCGGGGACGTAGAATGTTTCTGGCAGATGGTTCCTGACGAATTAAAAGTCCACATAAATATATATATTTAAAGATCTGAGGTAAACAACAGCCTTTGTTCTGACTTTCTAGTTTTCTGAGACAAAACTTTAGAGACGCTTGTAAAGGAGAACCAATCAGTCTCCTGTAACTCTGAGTTTTCACTGATTGGTCGAATCTGTTGGGTCATAAATAAACACACAGAAATGCTAACATCTGGTTAAAGGTCCATGTTCTCCTCAGTCGGGTTCTTCTGGTTCCGTCCACCAGCTTCTGGTCCATCCAGAGCTGCTTTCTCCTGCTTCCTGGTTGACTCTTGACCATCCTGACCAGTCGTCTCTCAGCAGCAGCTGCTAGTTTGTGTTTCCTTCCTGATGGTGGCAGTAACACAACTGGACCATGAACTTTATTCTGACACGCTGATGGTTCTGGATCTGAAGCTTCTTTAAAAGTGACTTTCTGACTGGTTCCAGTCACTGATGTTCTTCTCCAGATCTTTGCTCCTCAGCTCCTCAGACGGTTCTGTTGAAGCTGGATCAGAGGAGTCAGCAGCTAGAGTCAATCAGAACCACTCAGGAGACGTTAGGAGGCCATGAAGCTGAGAACATGTGATCAATACAACTGTCTACGTCACCAGAACTGATAAGTCAAGTTGCTGTGAGATGTTTTTGACTCTTTTATAAATCTATCCAGACATGTTTTAAACTGAGCAGAACTCAGACTTTACAGTCGATTATCTACGATGTCCGCTGCAGTAAAGATCCCAGAATTCATTTAGGAAAAAACCTTCTTTATACTTTAAGATCTAAGGTTTTCTTCAGTGTCTGACTTGTCCAGTGATAAACATGCATCACAACTGCTAACAGCTAATTCTGAATCTTTAATGCATAACATCAGCCCTACAGCGAAGTCAACACGACGTAATACTTCCCTGGACTGAACTGCAGCCGACGGCTTTCCTGTTAGACTCTTGGATGTGATGGATGTAGTCGACGGAGCGACTCGATAACACTCTGAATGTAATGCGGGCTTTGATCAGCGTTATTGACTCGACACGTTGCTTTTAATCACAGCTCACAGTCAACATGACGAGCTGCCTCGTTAAGGAACCGTTCGTCCTGCTGCTGAAACGCATCGTCACCTGTTACAGCGAACGTGAACAGAGTGTCGCCCAGACGAAGCTGGTTCACCGTGCAAATGAACGCTGTCGACATGAATGTGATTTATACTAACTCCAGCGTTTTATTTCAGATATGAGGAGTGAAAACCGTCCAGGTGCTTTGTCCAAAGCTTCAGGGCAGCTCCTCAGCAGTTTAACATTCAGTCCAGCTTCCTCTCAGGTTTCTGCATCAGCGGGGACCGTCAGCGCTAAAAGCATCTTTTCATTAATCTGCACAACAGCCAACAGGCAGGAGACCGCCGAGACCCGTCGGATCGGCTCTAAAGCTCGCTGTCGTCGGGCAGAACAGGAGGCAGCCCGGACCTGTTCTGATCTCAGAAAGTCAAAGAAAATTCGAGTCGCTCTCAGTGGCAGGTATGAATCTGGACAGACTCTAAGTGTTCGGGACATTTGAAAGGAAGGGAACAACGTGAGGAACACGTGGTTGTACCGGTTCGTTTTGGTGGTTTTGTTGCAGGCGTGTTTTCACAGAGAGACGGAGAGGAAACTGAAACGAACCGGATCAGTTCACCTAAAAGAAACGGCAAATAGGAGACACAACAAAAAGACACAAAATGAGGCACAAAACGGCAACAACATGGGACAAAAACATGAATCAGAACAAGTCAAATAGTGAAGAATGACACACCCAGAAACTGCTTGGCGTTGACACACTGAAAGTCAAGGCGCCTCCTTGTCTTGTCCGTGGATGCAGCTGAAGTGTTGTGTTGTCTCGTGTGTTTCAGGTGCATCGTGTACCACCTGGACACCCGGATGCGTAAGGACGTTTGTTTCGGGGTGATAGCGCTGACCTGGGTGTTGAGCGCCGTCCTCGCCAGCCCTCTGGCCATCTTCAGAGAGTACGGCTCCTTCGACCTGGAGCCTGGACACACCATACAGGTACGTGACCCACACCTGTACAGACCACGAACATCATGTCAGCGATGGGCTTCCAATGACTCCTAGAACTCTGAATCTTCTGTGATGGTGTCACTTTAAAACAATCCTGTATTTTGGTTCTTTCAGAGATTTATTAAAGGTCTTCTGGAAACATGACAAAACCTGTTGGGTCATAAATAAACGAACATAAATGTTAATGTCTGGTTAAAGGTCCATGTTCTCCTCAGTCGGGTTCTTCTGGTTCCGTCCACCAGCTTCTGGTCCATCTCTGACTCCTCTGGACAGAATCGCTGCAGTTCAAATAAACTTGTCGTCTTTCTGACTCAGACTTGTTCCTTCATCAGTCCACAGGTTCTGGATGGTTCCAGTCAGGACTTTGGGGAGACCAGTCTAGAACCTTCATTCCAGCCTGATGGAACCATTTCTTCACCACTTTGATGTGTGTTTGGGCTCATTGTCTGGTTGGAACATCCAACTGTGTCCAAGATCAACCTTCTGCTGATGGTTTCAGGTTTTCCAGAGCATGATGCTGCCACCTCCGTGTCTGATGGTGGTGGCAGCATCATGAGCTTTTTTGTAATCAGAGACTCTTTGATCTGCTCGTCCAGCGTGACAGATTCTTAATCAACGACATGATGAGAAACAACAGTGGAAATTTTAGGCTTTTATCTTCCTGAGATGATGTTGTTCAAACAGCCTCAAATGAAAGTGGGTCGACTGGCAAATTTTAAAATCTCAGAAAGTATTTAATAAACAAATCTTACACTGCACAGATACCACCTTAAGCATTCATACGACGAAACAGTGTCAAGCAAATCGGAGATGCTTAGACAGAAACAGTTGTGTGTGAACCCTGGGATGAAATGAAGCGTCTATTTTCACTCCTGAAATATTTCGGAATCAAACAAATGAGTGCTTCCTTCTCATCGGCCTCTTTGATCTTCCTGCTTGTTCGCCGCCGCCCCCGCTCACTTCCATCAGTCTTCGTCTCTCTCATGCCTCACCTCCTCCCAATCTTCTCCAAACCGTCCTCGCCTCCATTCAGACGCCCTCTTCAGCCTCGTCAATCTGTCTTCACACAGTAGAATAATCTTCGCTTGACACCGTATCGCCTGTGCTATTCCACGTTTCACTTTCATTTCCTCTGTGATGATGCTGCATCCTGTTTTAAATCTGTTAAACACTAAAAACTGAACTAAAGGTTGACTTTCAAAAAGTCAGCGACGTCCCGATCGAGTATTTTCGCCCCCAATCTGATCCCGTTTTCACAAAAAACCTGCACTTTAAGTATAAAAAGTCCAGTAAAATCAATCCTGTTTAGATGCTTGACAACTGAATCTCTCTGCATTTCTGCCTCCACTCGGTTCCTCAGTGTTCTGGAGGTGGAACCTCGTAAAGCTCCAGTAGAACCCTGTCCAAATGTAGAGGGAAGGATGTACTGAGGGTCCAACAGATGAGGAAAACCTGTATGTTCGGCATGTGTTTTAGTAAATGTATCGTACACCAGCTGTAGTACCTGGTTGTTCCACCAGGTGGAGCCTCTCACTGTTTAATCCTGTAGAGACCAGAGGAGGCGTCACTCAGACTACAGCTCATGTTGGCAGCAGAGAGCATTGTGGGAGTTTAGCAGCAACGGGACCATGACAGAGACTCTGAAGAGGTTGATGATGTCCAGAGTTCAGGTGTTTAAAGCAAACTGGGATCGACAGCGTTTGCAAAAAGAACATCCGCAGGACAAACGTCCGTTGTGCATAATCTGATGTGTAGCGCTGCCAACTGATGACGTAAAGAGCAATTCATAATCAGCATCCCTGTGCGGTCCCTTTACGATACCTGTGTGATATGTTTTTCATCCCTCAGGTGTAGTTTCAGTTTCAATTTCAGCGTTGAGTGCAGTGCGTCACCGTCAACACTCTGGTCAGGTGCAATGTTTCACTTTTCATGCACTACATTGAAAATATGTGCAGTTTTCAATTTCATTTCACTTTTTTGGTGCAACATAATATTTAATTTCAGTATCACCTATAATCAGTATCATTGCCATCGTTGTCACGTGTCGTACTTAAATCTTATTGCTTTCACCTTTAGGCACTGACTGCTGCATTTCTTCCTATTTGTTTTTTTTTCAGAGCAATATCTGGGACAACAGTTTCCATCGGGATTAATAACGTTAACCTGAGAATAGCGTATCTAAGCTAACCACCCCTTTCCGCTTGGTCGCAGGTGTGCACGGAGAAGTGGCCCGGGAACAACACCGACGGCACCGTCTACAGCATCTCCATGCTGATCCTGCAGTACTTCCTCCCGCTGTCCATCATCTCCTTCGCCTACGCCCGCATCTGGTCCAAACTCCGCGGCCACGTCAGCCCGGCGGAGAGCGGCGGCGGCAGCAGCGCCGGCTCCGAGCGCCACCGCCGGCGCCGCAAAACCACCAAGATGCTGGTGACCATGGTGGTGGTGTTCGCCGTCAGCTGGCTGCCCTTCCACGCCTTCCAGCTGGCCACCGACATCGACAGCACGGTGCTGGACATGCGCGACTTCCGCCTGCTCTACACCGTCTTCCACGTGGTCGCCATGTGCTCCACCTTCGCCAACCCGCTGCTCTACGGCTGGATGAACCGCAACTACCGCGTCGCCTTCCTCGCCGTCTTCAAGTGCGGCCGTGGCGGCGAGCGGGGGAGGGGCGGCCGGCTGGACAGCATCCACCCGGTCGGTGGCAGGAAGCGAGGAGGAGGAGGAGGAGGAGGAGGAGGGAGGGCGAAGAAGATCGTCCTGGAAACGCAGGATGTGGTGTCGGCACACCTGAACGCCACCGACGTTTGAGAAAAGTGATGCCGACGGCGAGGAGGAATCGTGGAGCCGACGGGACAAAGATGGAGGAGCTGAAACGTCACTGTCGGGAAACCTTTTGTCCCGAGGCAGACAAAAGATGCAAGAAGAAGAATTTCCACAAGGAGACAGAAACGACAGAGCGAGAGGAAGCCGGCGACGGAGATTAGAGCGTTTTTGGGAGCCGATTAGGGGATTAGTAGAAGAAGAGCTGGTGAATGACTCACAGTCCGACCTCAGCGGGACGTTTCACCAGCTTTGAGTGACGGAGTCGATCTGGTTTCGGTTGACAAAATTTCCAAGACGCTTGATGGCAACATAAAACAAACAAACAAACAAAGAAAAAAACTGGACGAGAAACCGTCTGATCTTGTCAAAATAGGGCTTCTACTCTGTCTTCATTTCACATGTGAAGCATTTAGCTCATACATTTAACCCAGAGTGGCTTATAAAGGATTGCGGGTCATGTTTGCAGAGGTCAAAGGAATAGCCAAAAAATATATATACGCATATATATTAAAGGAAAAAAAAAACAGGGATTGTCGGAGGATGCATGATGCAAGCTTTGTGAAATCTCAGACAGTGTTACGGAATGAAAATGTGTGTTTAACGTCCATTATGTTGGATTGAGGAACAGAAAAAAAAAAAAAGACATTACGGCTAAAATGGGAAAGCGAGATGATTCGGGTTTGTTCGGTCGGTAGGTGAAGGACGGAACAGAGAACGCAGGGATAAAAGACGAGGGCAGGAGCGATGAAGGCATCAGTGTGGGATAAAGAGGCAGCATGTCAGAGCAAAAGGTAACTCAAACGAAGCAGCAGCAGAGGGAGGATCCACACCTATCAGCACACACGAATGTTCATCAGGATCTTTGATTTAGTTCAGTTTGACCCCTTTTCTTTTGACACAAAGTCTGGCCGTGACTCCGATTCGGCTTGTTAAAGATGCACAAGCTCGTTATTTTGAACTCTTGCATCGGAGAGCTGCTTTGTTTCATGTGTCGCTCTTTGATTCGTTACTGAAGGTCGTCAGCAGGAGGCACTAAGTCATGAAGAAAACGGCGTTAAAACGTCATCCGTCGTGATGAAATTCATGAGGCTCATTACAGGGACACGTCAGTTTTTCGACTATAACTTTTAAGGCGCTTGTGTGATTTCAAACAGACTCTGAGAACCTTTAATCCTCCGTCAGACACCTGCTGACTCGAGGGAACCCTGAAGCTGAAGACTTTTCTGTATGTTTAAAGCTGCGATCGATCGCACCAGTCACGCGTCTCCAACTCACATTTACTCCACGTTGATTTTAAAGGCAAAGCTCTCGATCTGAGTCCCAACCCTCACCTGTAGCCGTGAGATCTTGGTGGCGGCCGAAACAGTTAGCTTCCAAAACGTTTAAGGAGCTCGAACATCCGGAAAAGTCACCTTGAAAAGATCCAACACGAGGCGTTTCAGGCACCTGGTTTGTATCCCTACCGGAGTTTAGTTTGCTGGTTTGACGCAGAGCACAGCAAAACTGCACCAGAGTTAGCTAGCAGCTAAATAGCATCTCTCACCAGCGTGAGATGATAAATAAAATCAGTGAAAACAATAAATAAAAGCTATAAACTAGCGGTGACAGTTTTGTGAACTGAACAGCGCAAACGTTAGCGGTCACTTGTTCTGCCAAAATGTTTACAAAAAAAACAAACAGTAAAATCGTGTTGCTGCACTGATGCAAACTATAAAAAACACTTTACAAACCTTGTTTTGATGCCAATTGAAACTGCAGTTGCGGTTCTTTCTACATTCATTTAGACAGGAGCTTGGCCTGGTTACCTTGAAATAACTGGCCAATGGCGTGTCTGAGACAGAGTGGTGAGATTTGCCTCTAAGGACTCTGATCCCATCAACTTTACATTTATCGCCTCCTCCAACCACTCGTCCAAGAACCGTCAGTCCCCCTTTTACGTTCACGACGCGTAGACGCTCGCTAAATGTTTGAACTGTTTACATAACGCCAAATTTGGACACCCGGGCTGTTTGCAAAAGACGGACGTAGCCGACGCACAAGTGCCTTAAACTTGCATTCTCTCTACCGGCCAGCAGGGGTCGACTCCTCTGGCCCAAACTGCTAAGATGGTCCACCTGCTTCTCGTTTAACCCGTTAGTTCAATACTTCTAATGAGTTTATGGTCTCGCTTGCTAGTTTCAAGTCTCCTTCAGTGCGACGTGGCGTCATTTGAGTGAATTATGGCTCAATTTGAAAAATAAAATAAATTTTAAAAAATTAGACAATAAAGCAGGATATGTGTTGGGTTTATAAAACTGTGATGTTAGCAAAACAGATGACAAAACCAACGTCAAGGAGGCTACGTTTATTTTTTAAATACAGTCTGTTTACAAAATGTTCATCACTCGACTTCGTGGATTTGTTTCACAGGATCTGAAACATCTGAAATCGATTCGTCGTCAGACCATCGTGCCCAGTGTAGGAGGCCTTCTAACAGGAAAAGACTGACATTCAAGGGACGCCTAACTACTAAATCACTTGCTTTAAAAAAAGAAAAACTAAAAACATGCAATCGTTTAAGGTTTTGTCGAAACGAGATCTGACACCCAAAAGTGCCGAAGAGCTCCTTGTGAAGAGTTTCTAAGGCGTGGATGAGGAGATGTTAAAATACATTCACAATACATAAATTCATTTGTTTGGTTTCATGTTTGGCAGTGACGGGAATTATTAAATTACTGAACTGCTGAATGAACCGCGGCTGTTTCGGTGGTGTTTGGGCTTTGGACGGCTCGCCGGTAGCGCCCCAGGTTGAGATAAACCAGAATAGTCCATTCAGCGACTCGGTTACTGGACCTGAAACGGTCAGTGAAAAGAAAAGAGGCAGAAGGAGCCGCCTACGTTCTCTCTGTGCTACCATAGCAGCAGCTCACCTCTTCCTGAGTCCGACTGGCTGACGCTTCCAGACACCTTTCACCATCACGAGTCGTCGAACTGGTGCCGTGGTAGCAGTCGACGGCCCGAGGGCATGAAACACAGGCGAGGGGTTCAATGGGCTGCGATGACTGAGTGCTTTTATGCAAATGCCAGCGAGCTCCACGCGAGCCGCTGCCAACGCTCCGTCCCGCTCTGCAGATCCAGCGAGCTGCCAGTAACGAATAAAAAAAAACTGTTTACTGATTGTGAACTCCGGCGGTGTTGCAGTTCTGATGATAGAGATCAGTGCAGAACATGTAAGTGATGGCGTTAGATAAGCCGCGGGCGTTTCACAACCTGTAAGTTATTTAAGTAATTATCTATTGGCTGTTAACAGTAGTGCCTTACGGGCTTCTCCTCTGCTTCTTTTTTTTTCCCCCGAGGTGAGTTTCTGAATCTAAATTGGGCTCCGAGTTCAACCGGTTATGAACGGTGGTGATGAACCACTGAAACAAGCCAGAATGTCATTTAGAAAAGCCTCCAGGCATCATGGAGGAATCTGAACCAAGCTTCATCTAAGTGTTCATCCACTGCCCTGAAATGAGTTTCTAGCCTTTTTCCAACCCAGCGTTCTTCTTCCCTCGAACAGGGTTGTGCTTTTTTTTTTTTCTTTCTTTTTTTTTTAATCAGATGAGTCCTTGGAACGCTCGCCTCTCGCGGTAATTAAGAGCTCGCGGGTTGAAGTTTTTTGAAAGCTCGGGAGTTTGCGAGACTTCGTGATGAGTTTTCAGGAACGGCAGAAGCTGGGGAAGTTAATTTCCCAGTGGACTTTAAGGTATTCTATTGTGCTTTCAGCTATGTATAGTTTTTCTTCTTCTTCATGTTTGAACGTGTGAGGAAGGCGACGGCCTCGTCTTCTCATTCTGCCTTCGTGTTTTACATTTCCACTGGAAGGCAGCATTGGACGATTCTTCTAATTGGTCGTATACCTTAATGAGGAAAAGCCCCATGACCGTTTAACTTGAGGGATTACGAGCAACCACAGATTTTGAAATCTAACCATTTCTGTGTTAAGAACCTTAAGAATGCTTTTCTGATTGATTACGTCCACAGAAGACTGACTGGTACAAAAATGAACTCTCCAGTTTGTCACAGACGCTTACGGTGCATACGACGGATGATTCAGCTCACGCTACACGTGACCAGCTTCTATTTCTGTCGTCGTCTTCGTTTGGGTACGACGTGAAAAACGGCCAACACAAGCAGATGTGAAAAGAAGATTTAGAGAACAAATTCCTAAAGACCTCTCTCTGTTTGTCTCTCTCGGACGGACAAAGTTTTGCTGGTTTCTGTTGGTTCTTTAAGGTTCTAGGCGGTGGCTAAACAGCTGCTTTTACAGCCCTGTGGCCTTCCGACGACGCTCACCGCTAAACGTTCACGAGTTTTCAAAAGTTGGCGAGACACACTTGCTTCAAGACCTTGTTGGTGTCTCAAACGTTGACAGTTTTTTTTTTGCTTTAGGAGAAAGCAACAGCTAGCCAGCAACATCGCAGCCTTTAATGCTAAGCTAGTTTAGCTAAGCGGCGCAGTGAGGTTTGGCCGAGTTTCGCAGTTGGTTTTATTCCATTTCTGAGTCATGTTTGGGTTGCGAAAATCAAGAAATGAGACATTTTTCCATCAAGTAGCACGAGTTAAACGGCAGGCGGCTTTTATTTTAGTCGCAGCTCCATTGAGGAAAAAAAAACTAGCTTGTCCAGAAGGATATCCCCAAGTCGCTCTGTTCTGGACTTCTCTGTTAATTCTAATGTGTAAAAGTCGATGAAAATGGAAATTGGTGCCCAATGTAGTTTGTAAATCACCGCTGAAAAGCAAAGTGGGACCAAGAACAGCAGCTTACGTGGCTCCAAACGCTTCTTCATACGTCATCAGTGGGTTTAAGCTACATTCCTGAATTTCTTTATTAAAAACAATATTTAAAAAAAGAAAAAAGCCTTTTACTGCTATCATTTAGTTTTGGTCTCCAGTAAATGTAATGTTTTCTAGTTGTTTATTTCATCCTCTTCCTTTTATTATTTGTTGGGTTGTTGTTGTGT